AAACATAACCTCACTTTTACAAATTGTTTTTGGAAATTTTCAAACTAAAAAATTGACGAGGTAATATAAATTTTCAGTGTATTTTCAATGATTTTGTATTAATGTTACTTTTTACCTTCTATATAGGAATATTGTGAAATAACGGGAGGACGGGAAAAAATGGAAATATGGCGAAAAATAATATTAAAAACATAAGCCTTCGATCAATAAGTGTTGTCTTATCTTACATCTTTAGCAAATGGAGTTATGAAGAAGGAGAAGGAGGAGCAGAACTTAAGAGATTGGGTTATAAGAAGAGAGTCAGGGACGGCCTTCGATCGGGTATTCATTAATCGTGTAGAAGAAATTAGCATCTCGTTTGGTGACGCCCTCTCTATATTGCTTTTTGCCACTCATCGACATTCTACGAAAGTACGTGTTTGGAAAAAAATCAGGTAAGTCATAAAAAAAATTGGCGTTAGAAAACTCAATCGTAATTTTGAATTGTCTTTCGGACACTCAACGACAATTTTGTACAAAAAGTACGAAAAAAAAATCAGGTAAGTCATAAAAAAAATTGGCGTTAGAAAACTCAATCGTAATTTTGAATTGTCTTTTGGAGACTCAACGACAATTTTGTACAAAAGTACAAAAAAATCAGGTAAGTCATAAAAATTGGCGTTAGAAAACTCAATCGTAATTTTGAATTGTCTTTTGGACACTCAACGACAATTTTGTACAAAAGTACAAAAAAAAACATTTCATTAGGAAACTAAATTGAAATTTAAATTTCTCATTGTAAAATCTACAAAAGTCCTTTAGAGTATATAAAATAATTAAAAAATAATTATTCAATTTATTAAAAAATTAACTTTTTTACAAAAAGAAATTTTTTTTACCAAATTGATTTTTTTAAATAAAAAGTTAAATAAAGAATTTAAAAATCAAAATTTCTGCAAATAATGAGTAAAGATTGTAATAATTTTTTTTCTGCAAATGAAGTTAAAAAAAACCGCGTAATTTCTCTTTTGTCGAGTTTGTTTTCAATTATTTTACTAAGTGAAGAGAGCTTAAGCATTTCTTTCTTTTCTTTTTTTTTAATATATAAACGCTCAGAAAGAGCCGCCTTGTAATTTGTGATTCAAGTAAAAAGAGAGTTTAAAAAATTTACGCCTGACCCTTGAACCACTTTTGACTATACACTTTTTTATCTCGTTTTCTTCGCGGGCATATGACTCCTTTTACCTATTTTTCATTACCACACACACACACACATATACATATACACGATCATTATATTATCGTTGTCAAAAGCTCTCGCGACTTTTGACGTTATATACCCCATGTAGATTTTCAGCGTTCTACATGAACAAAAAAAAAACATACGAGTATATACGAGAACATTTATAAGAGCCAAAAAACCATGTCGTGAAAAATAATCTCGTTATATGAGGTAACGATCTAAATCCCTTCGTGCGAAAAAATTCAACCTCTTTCTTTCATTCTTTCTCTCTCTCTTTTTTTCGAAAAATCCTCCTACCTCGCTTTTATATTATATTCGCATATATAGGTTGACGCAATTGCAAAAAAAGTAATGCGTATTTTTTTCGGGTTTAAAAACTAATAAATTTTTTCCACTTTTGAAATTTTTTTTCTATTATTATATTAGTATTATTATTATTATTATTATTATTACTATTATTATTTTATTATTATTATCATACGGTGAGGAAAAGTGTGTATTTTGATAAAAATAAAAATTTGCGTTCCAGACACATCATTTAATTATGTTTCGAGATTTTACAGGAAAAAAAATTAATGGTTTATAGTACTTAGTAGTTTCTGATTCCTTGTAGTTTATGGTGCCTAGTATTTTATGATTCCTAGTAGTTCATGCAACCTAGTTGGTTATGGTACCTAGTATTTTATGGTAAATAGTAGTTTATGATTCCTAGTAGTTTACGGAAAGTAGAAGTTTATGATGATTAGTAGTTAGCAGTTTCTAGTACCTAGTACTTTATGATTACTAATAGTTTATGCAACCTAGTTATTAATGGTGTCTAGTATTTTATGATTCCTAGCAGTTTATGACAAATAGTAGTTTATGATTTCTAGTAGTTTATGCTACCCAGTAGTTTATGGTGAATATTAATTTATGATTCCTAGTAGTCAGTAGTTTATGATTCCTAATAGTTGATGATAATTAGTAGTTTATTGCACCTAGTAGTTTATGGTTCGTAGTAGTTTACAGTACATAGAAGTATATGGGACATAGTATTCTATAGTAAACAGTATTTTAAGATTCCTGGTAGTTTATGTTACCTAGTAGTCTATGATTTCTAGTAGTTTATGGTACCTAGTAGTTTAAAATTCCTAGTAGTTTATGGTACCTAGTTGGTTATGGTGCCTAGTACTTTATGATTACTAGTAGTTAGTAGTTTATGGTTCCTAGTAGTTTATGATTCCAAGTAATTTATTGTACCTAGTAGTTTATGGTTCGTAGTAGTTTACGGTACATAGAAGTATATGGGATATAGTATTTTATAGTAAACAGTATTTTAAGATTCCTGGTAGTTTATGTTACCTAGTAGTCTATGATTTCTAGTAGTTTATGGTTCCTAGTAGTTTATGGTACCTAGTTGGTTATGGTACCTAGTAGTTTATAATTCCTAGTAGTTTATGGTACCTAGTTGGTTATGGTGCCTAGTAGTTTATGATTACTAGTAGTTAGTAGTTTATGGTTCCTAGTAGTTTATGAGTCATAGTTGTTTATGATTACTTATTATTATTCCTATTATTATTATTATTAGTATTATTTTTATTATTATTATTATTTTTGTTTTTATTATTATTATTAGTACATATTATTGTTGTTATTATTATTATTATTATTATTATTATTATTATTTTATTATTATTATTATTATCATACAGTGAAGAAAAGTATGTATTTTGATATAAAAATAAAAATTTAAGTCCCAGACACATAATTTAATTATGTTTTGAGATTCGATGGGAAAAAAGAAAATTAATTCAGCTATTTTTCTTCCCCTCTTTCTTTTTTTTGTCTCTTCACTGAACATAAATTGTTGAACATAGTTGATTAAGATTTGTGGAATAATCAATGACTTGAGAAAAACCTTGCCCATATATATATTAGTGTATACATATATATATATATATATATATAAAAGAACCTGTCACGTGGTTGTCCTATTAATGTGGTTGAGAGGCGCGCATTTGATGTTTCAACACACGCGTCTTTATAATCATCAGTATTCATGAAGCAAGTTTCCAGTAACATTAATTAGTTATAGAGATAACAAATTAAAATGTTTAATAGAAGATTATTGTAATTTAATGTCTAATGCAATTAAAAGGAAACGATACATATATAGAGGAGGGGAATTAAATTTATATATATATACCTTGTTGAAATAATTGCGGCGCGGCAGAGAAATAGATATATGTTTATACACGTAAATTGAAATTCTACATCTAATTCTCTGTTGTTAATGTTCAACATATATATATGATGAGAGAATGTGAAAACTATTTTGATATATTTTGGTAGTTTTAGAAATTATATTTAAAAAAAAACAACAAATTTAAATAATTAAAATTTTTTTTTGCAAATTTTTCTACTAAATAGAGGCGATTAACGTTGTCCTCTTAAATTAAGAGGATTTTTGTTTGCTTTATTATATGTCAACTTTGAAACAAAAAAAAACACCAAGTTTGTTAATAAAATAAATAAGAGACAGTAAAAGTTTTTTCCTCATTCTGAAAATCCTCTCAATTATAGAGGAATTATTTTCTAATATAAAGAGTTATAACTTTACTCGTCAAAAAATAGAATTTCAACTTCATTTCAAAAATTAATTAAAATTCTATTAAAAAAAAAATTTTTTTTTAAATATTCTCATTTTAAGAAGAAAATATAAAAGAAATAACCAAGTTAAATATTGAAAAAAAAAATTTCAGTGTCAATATTAAATATAGAAAAATTGCAGGAAAAAAAAAGAATTAAACGTGTTAATTCACTTGCCTTCAACTATTTGTTCCTTGGTTGCTAAAATTAGTGGAATAGCTCCTGAATTACTCATTATTATTATTATTATTATTATTTCCTTCTTCTTCTCTCGCAGCTTATTTTTCGTTTCCAAAGTCAAGGCCCCCTTCCCTTGACTTATGAGGTTATTATTGTATATATATATAGGAGAGATATATATTTTTATCTATATCTATATCTATATATATACAAATATAGACTCACACAAATACAACTTGGTCACCCACAATTGATTTATTCAGATTGAAAAACATCAAGGTTATTTCAACGGTGAATTGATAAAAATTTACAGAAATACCGAAACCGTCTCAAGTTCGTCATGAATTTTAATTTCAACTCCCTTGCACTTACACGATCTATACATAGCGAGTAAATCTATATAATCACTGAGTTTTATTTTTTTTCTTTCTTTTTTTATTTTTTCTTTCTATATCGAATTAAAATCATTATTATTTTTCACTCACTTTCACTTTATTTTCTCTTTCTCTCTTGCTTTTTCATGTGTATAAATTGTTTTAACTATATCTATATTTATATATATATATACTAGTTGTTTTTATAAATTTGCCGCTCAATTTTTTCTTGGGAAAAAAGTGAAAATTATAAAAAAAAATCAAAAATAAAGAGAAACTTTAAAAATCAATTACTGTAACTGCCAATTTGATTATAATAACTATGGTAATTTAACTATTATTGTTTTTTAAATATTTAAAATTATAAAACTACCATTAAAAATAACTACGATTATTTTCAACTATTAAAAATTATAAAAATAACACAAATTTTAACTACCATTATTTGCAACAACTGTGTATTAAAACTACAAATAATTTTCTTATGGCCTATAGTAATTTATGGTATCTAGTAGTTTACGGTACATAGAAGTATATGGTACCTAGTATTTTATAGTAAACATTAGTTTCAGATTCCTGGTAGTTTATAATACCTAGTAGTCTATGATTTCTAGTAGTTTATGGTACCTACTAGTTTATAATTCCTAGTACTTTATGATACCTAGTTGGTTATGGTACCTAGTTCGTTATGGTACCTAGTAGTTTATGGTAGCTAGTTGGTTATGGTACCTAGTAATAAATAGGACCTAGCTGGTTGTAGTACCTAGTAGTTTATGTTACCTAGTATTTTATGATACCTAGTTGGTTATGGTAACTAATAGTTTATGGTACATATTAGTTTGTGGTACCTAGTAGTTTATGGTACCTAGTAGTTTATAATACCTAGTGGTTTATGGTACCTAGTAGTTTATAATTCCTAGTATTTTATGATACCTAGTTGGTTATGGTACCTAGTACTAAATGGTACCTAGTTGGTTATGATATCTAGTAGTTTATAATTCGCAGTAGTTTATGGTACATAGTAGTTTATGGTACCTAGTAGTTTATAATTCCTAGTATTTTATGATACCTAGTTGGTTATGGTACCTAGTACTAAATGTTACCTAGTTGGTTATGATATCTAGTAGTTTATGATTCGTAGTAGTTTATGGTACCTAGTTGGCTATGTTATCTAGTTAGTTATGCTACCTAGTAGTTTATGGTAAATAGTAGTTTATGATACCTAGTAGTTTACAGAAAATAGAAGTTTATAATACCTAGTAGTTTATGGTACATAGTAGTTTATTATTTCTAGTAGTTTATGCTAACCAGTAGTTTATGATAAATAGTAATTTATGATTCCAAGTAGTCAATAGTTTATGATTCCTAATAGTTCATGAAACTTAGTAGTTTATTGTACCTAGTTGGCTATGGTACCTAGTTGGTTATGGTACCTAGTAGTTTATGGTAAATAGTAGTTTATGATACCTAGTAGTTTAAGGAAAATAGAAGTTTATGATACCTAGTAGTTTATGATACCTTGTAGTTTATGATGCCTAGTAGTTTATGATTCATAGTAGTTTATGGTACATAGTAGTTTATGATTTCTAGTAGTTTATGCTAACCAGTAGTTTATGATAAATAGTAATCTATGATTCCAAGTAGTCAGAAGTTTATGATTCCTAATAGTTCATGAAACTTAGTAGTTTATGGTACTTAGTAGTTTATTGTACCTAGTTGGCTATGGTACCTAGTTGGTTATGGTACCTAGTAGTTTATGGTAAATAGTAGTTTATGATACCTAGTAGTTTAAAGAAAATAGAAGTTTATGATACCTAGTAGTTTATGATTCATAGTAGTTTATGGTACATAGTAATTTATGATTTCTAGTAGTTTATGCTAACCAGTAGTTTATGATAAATATTAATTTATGATTCCAAGTAGTCAGAAGTTTATGATTCCTAATAGTTCATGAACCTTAGTAGTTTATGGTACCTAGTAGTTTATGATTCCTAGTAGTTTATGCTACCTTCTAGTATATGTCAAATAGTATCGAATGATTCCTAATAGTTAAATGTATTTAGAAGTTTGTACATAGTAGTATAGAGTATACCTAGTAGTTTATGGTACCTTATGGTTTTCTGGTATCTAGTATTTTTTGTCATAAAAAAAATATTATATCCTACACTACAAAATTATATCGCAGCGCACCATTGATAATAATAATCCAAAGGGAAATTAAAATAAACTTTCTTCTTTAATTACACAATGGCTATTTTTTGAGTTTCAAGCAAGTTTTCACTTATACATATCTATAAATTTCTAGACGTAGATTGCATTACGATTACATTTTACATTGGAATAAACGGCGCAGCTGCTCTTAAAGTTGTGCAAAATTTCCATTCATTCATTCATGGGGAAAACTTTTTTTTTTTTATTATTTTTTACAGAAAACTTCTCACATTCTATTCAATTTTCTTTCATTTTCTGTTTTTCTTTTTTTTTGAGAAACTTTAACGGAATATTGATTTGCGATAAATGAAATAAGATAAAATTGACTGATTTAAAGGGATTTAAAGGTTTTGTATATATAAATTTCATTGTGAGTTTTTCTCACACATGTTTGGTATTTCAAGTAGTTCAAGAGTAACGGCTGACTGTAACGTATTTCTACTACTGAATGGGGATATATAGAAAAATATATGTACATATAGAGAGTCTATGAAAATTCTGGTTTGGTCATAGAAAATTTTACCTATAAACTGTTTTTTTCTATTTATTTTTTATTTAAATATGGATTTTTTTTTTAATTTTTTAATTTTTAATTAAAATTTAAAACTGCTTTTTTTTAAAAAAAAAATTCTATTTGTAGTAAATTTTTTTTAAGAATTTTATTTAAAAAAAAAATTAAAGGCGGTCAAAATAATGGTGTCTTTCCTTAAAAAAATATAATTTTTTTTTTAATCGTATTTTTCTATTTATGTATACGTGTAAAATAAATATAAGGAAGTTTTTTAAAATGCAATAAAAATACAATATGTGTGTGTGTGTGTATTCTATTAGTATATAAAGAAAGTAAAATAAATAAATATTTTTATATGATATCATTTTGAATACCATTTGCATGCCTTGATCTATGACACTGAATAGACGGAATATTCTATATTTGTGCACGCGAGGTTACTTCTTGGCATATTACAATATATATATACCTATATACCTGTATATATATATATATATACAATATTCCTGAGTCCCAGAGCGAATTGGTAAATGCAGAAATATAAATAATTCCAACAGGAAATTCTCTTCTTAAAAACTCAAGGAACTTGGCAAACGTTATTCTTATATTTTATTTTCAAAAAAAGATGACGAAACTTGACTTGACTTTCAAGAGAAACAAAAAAAAAAAAAAAAAGAAAAAAAGAGAAAATGAAGAAAAAGATGTACCAGAAGATCTTTATTTCTTTTTCTAAAAGAAAAAAAAAATAAAATGAAATCCAGAAATCTTTTTTATTTTCTTTTTTATTTTAAAGAATAACAGAGAAAAATCGTATATTTACTATACCAATGGTAGAAAAATTCTTTTTTCCAAGCGACAGAAAAGTATTTTCCTTTTTTTTTTTTTTTTACAAAATAAAAAAAAAGTAAATAGCAAAAAAATTCATTTTACAAAATAATAATATTTTTTTAAGAATGGGGAAAAATAGTTTTAATATATAAAATAAATATTTTTTAAATAAAGGAAAATTATTCTTTTGTTTGTTTTCTTCTAAAAATAACAAAGGGAAATTTTTTTTTTATTGTCACTGTTTCTACCATAAATATATACATATATATGTACACTGGAAAAAAAATTATTTGATTCAACTAATCGGTTATTTGATTATTTTTGCAAAAAAAAAATGTTTACTTGAATCAAATAAATATTTACATGATTCGAAAACAATTTTTACTTGAATCGAATAAATATTTACTTGATTCGAAAATAATTTTTACTTGAATCGAATAATTATTTACTTGATTCGAAAACAATTTTTACTTGAATCGAATAAATATTTACTTGAATCAAATAATTGTTTATTTGAATTAAATAAATTGCTTTTGAATATTAATAAATTTTTTTTATTCGAAACATATATACCATATAATTGATTCAAATAATAATTATTTATATATATAAAATAAAAATATTCATTTTGATAATATTCAAGTAAACTCTTTATTTAAATGAAATAAATTTTTTTTTTCTTAGTGAACAAAGAAATAGATGAAAACTGACGAAAATTGTTGAAAAGTTCAGTAAGGATAATAACCTTCTGAATGAATAAATAACGAAAATTTTAGTTGTAAAAGTTTCTTTTGTTGAGCAGAGAAAGAGAGAGAGAGAGAGAGAGAAAGCTTTTGAAGTTGTCTGTGGTACATAATTAAACTGTACTGTCGTTTTTCGTCAGAAAAGCCCAGGAAAATGTAATTTTGATGGTATACTCCTATATATATATACCTTAAACATTTTACTATACAATATAGTTATATTCCAACTTTTGGTATTTCAGAATAAAGTATTTATCTATTCCAGTAAATATTTTATAGCGTTCCACAGAGGTGGAATTTCTTTTTAGGAATATGTAGGTATATATACATATATATCGAAATGCCAATGTAAATATATGAATTTATATTTCACGGGCAAATAAGTTTCGTACGGCCACATGAAAAAGAGGAAAATTTTTTTATCAAAGGTATATGTGTGTGTGTGTGAGTGGAAAATGAAAAAAATAAAATATTTCTTCAATAATAAAAAAAATAATAATCCCGTTGAAAGATAATGTATAATATTTTGAGACAAAATAACAGAATGAAAAAAAAATTACTATTTCCTTTTATTTTCAAAAAGTATTTTTTTTTTCAATTATTTGAAACTAAAACTACCATTTTTTTTCAAACTAGTATATAAATTAAAACTACCGATAATTAAAACTATTATGTAATAAACTAACATTGCTTTAAAACTACTATGAAATTTAAACTACCATTGTTTAAAATTATTATAAATTAAAACTACCATTGTTTTAAAACTACTCTAAATTGTAACTACCACCATTTTCAAAACTAGTATAAATTGAAACTACCATTGTTCTCAACTATTTTAAATAGAAAGTACCATTGTTTTTCAAAATACTATAAATTGAAACTACCATTGTTTTTAAACTACTATAAATTTAAACTACCATTGTTTTCTACTATTATGAATCAAAACTACCCCATTTTTAAAGTACTGTGACTTAAAACTACCATTGTTTAAAATTATTATAAATTAAAACTACCATTGTTTTAAAACTACTCTAAATTGTAACTACCACCATTTTCAAAACTAGTATAAATTGAAACTACCATTGTTCTCAACTATTTTAAATAGAAAGTGCCATTGTTTTTCAAAATACTGTAAATTGAAACTACCATTGTTTTTAAACTACTATAAATTTAAACTACCATTGTTTTCTACTATTATAAATAAAAACTACCAGAACTTAAAACTACCATTGTTTTTAATTATTATAAATAAAAACTATTATAAATTGAAACTACCATTGTTTTTAACCTACTTTAAATTAAAACTACCATCGTTTTTAAACTACTATAAATTGAAACTACCATTGTTCTCAACTATTTACAAATTAAAACTACCCTGTTTTTAAAGTACTGTGAATTAAATCTACCATTGTTTAAAAACTATCATAAATTAAAACTACCATTGTTTTAAAACTACTGTAAATTGAAACTACCACCATTTTCAAAATACTATAAATTGAAACTACCATTGTTCTCAACTATTTTAAATAGAAAGTACAATTATTTTTAAAATACCATAAATTGAAACTACCATTGTTTTTAAACTACTATAAATTTAAACTACCATTGTTTTCTACTATTATAAATAAAAACTACCCGTTTTCAAACTACCAGAACTTAAAACTACCATTGTTTTCAATTATTATAAATAAAAACTATTATAAATTGAAACTACCATTGTTTTTAACCTACTTTAAATTAAAACTACCATCGTTTTTAAAACTACTATAAATTGAAACTACCATTGTTCTCAACTATTTACAAATTAAAACTACCCTGTTTTTAAAGTACTGTGAATTAAAACTACCATTGTTTAAAATTATTATAAATTAAAACTACCATTGTTTTAAAAATACTGTAAATTGAAACTACCACCATTTTCAAAACTACTATAAATTGAAACTACCTTTGTTCTCAACTATTTTAAATAGAAAGTACCATTGTTTTTAAAATACTATAAATTGAAACTACCATTGTTTTTAAACTCCTTTAAATTTAAACTACCATTGTACCATAATAATTATTTAAATTTAAATCCAAAATTAATAAAAAAAAATAAATTGACTTTCTTTTAAATTTTTAAAATTCTTAATCAATTTCCCTCATATTTTAAATTTTATTATTGAAAAAATAAAAATCTCACATTCCATCACTGTGTAATTTCTCGATAAAAAGCTGAACATAACTTTTCATATATATATATATAAAACAAGCAAAAAAAAACACCTATATAACGCCATCACTCTTGTACCTGTTGCAATTTACACTCACACATATACACAAGAAAAAAAAACAATTTCCCCACGTTCGTGTTTTGCAAATAATAATAACAATAACACAAGACGCATTTTTTTTTTCTACCACGTAATTGAAAATCCGTTATAACCATCACTATTTCATATGACAACATATGTTTCATTAACTAATTTTACTCTTTAGGACAAAATCATTTTTTTTTTTAGAAAAAAAGAAAAACGAGCGGCAAATACAAATTAAATTTAAAAAAATTTTTTTTTTTACTACCTTTTTTTAAGGTAATTTTTGAATTATAAATATGTATATC